ATAGCTTACGTTTTTTGAAACAGACATATTATGCAAACATTTCTCTCTATTTCCTAATCCAATGTCTTTTTTGTCTCTTCCAACTGCTCCCTGTGTTTTACTATCTTGGTAATAGTCACCTTCAGGGAGCATATTTCTTTCCATCTTGCAAGAACTGACTTACTAAAATAGGCACATCACTGAGTCGTAGAAAGTTAGAAGTGTTCTCTGACTGATCAGATCTCCAAGTCAGGCTTCTCTGTGCAAGCCACATTAAAAAAGAGAAAGATCTGCACAAAGAATCACAGCTCTCTTGTCACAAAGCTAGAATTCAAATTCAAATTACTTGAGACATGGACTAAGTAAGGTACATTGTGTAGTCAGAATGGTGATCATCACAGATGATGTATTTATACGTGGAGTACATGTGCACACGCCAGTATCCTTCATTGAAAGGCATCTGCTAACTTAGGTAAATAAAACATCTCATGTTTGGTCAGCTAACATTTTTAGACAGTAACTTCACTTTGTATGTCTTCCATGAAGAAGCCAGGCTCCTCTAAGCAGGTAAAGGCAGTAACACTGTATGTCATACCCTACTCAGTTGTGGGAGTGATGGTGGTTGTTTGGAGACAATGCTACCTGAGAATGAGCACTCCCTGAAAATAATCTATTAAAAGTTTAAAAAATAACCTATTACCTGCTGGTTTGAGTGAAAAATAAAATGTGTATTTTCTTATTATTCCCTTAAAAAATAAGTCAAAGAAAACTAAGCAAAAAATGTAACATTTAGGTCAGGCATAGTGGCCTCAGCACCCTGTAATCTCAGTCCTCTGGGAGGCTGAGTTAGGAATAGCACAAATTCAAGCCCAGATTTGGTAGTAACATAGTAACTTGGTGAGACCTGATTTGCAAATAAAGAGGATTGGGCATATAGCTCCATGCAAAGGCCCCAGACTTAATTCCTAGTGGCAGGGAAACAGAGGGAAGGAGGGGAGGATAAGGAGGAGAGGACAAAGAAAAGGAGAAGAGGGGACAGGAGAGAACGAAAGGGGAATGAAGGGGAAGGAGAGAAGGGGAGACGAGGGGAAAGAAAGGAAGAAAAGATATTTTATCAGAAGTTTGAAGACAAAATTCATTCAATTTTTGATAACTTTTTTTTAGAGAAAAAGAATTCTGTGAGCAAAAGCAAAAAGTCCTGTCTTTCTTCTAGCCCTAAACAAACAGGTGATTCTGGATTTTTAGTATGAACAAAGTCTACAGATGGTGATACGCATCGTCTCTCCCTTGAAGCTGATAATATTTCAGGAAGAACATTGTCATCCCCTAAGTAATCCTTACAAAAATGTATACTGCGCATTTTCCTGCAAATATTCTTTTGTTGGGAAGAAATTGTGGACTATAAACTAAGAATCCAGGTAGAGTCACTTTCACTTGAAGGAAAATCCTTCTTCTTAAAAACACTCAACTTCTTAAAACATCCTCTCTGTCCTTTGTTTAGCCCTACCTGGAGGTCTATGTTAAAACTGGTTTGTTGTTGTTCTTGCTTTCTTAACCAAAATTCTACAGTTAGCCAAGGCTTAGACCCTTAATAACCTCTTAGTGAGCCCTGCCACCATCACTTACAGTTCTGCTTTGAGGAAACACATGTGTGTAATAAATATACTCAGGCTCCTAATGTCTGGGCACCTGGAAGCCAGGATTTTCTTGTATTCCCTTGTCAAGAAAACTTAAAATATTTAAAGTGTCCAGAAGACATAAGCATCACATTAAATTTCCCCCATTTATTCTCCATGACCACTCCACAGTGTGAATGTTAATTACCTGAATATCTTACTTCAGGACAAGTTTGGCCCTAAGCTTGTAGTTATCCTTCCTTAGGAAAACAATTGTGAGAGCCAGAGTAATCTGAAACTAGCTACAGAGGGAAACCTGCCCTGAAATGCTCCTCTCTATGCATGTGGGTGGCCAGGGTATTATTTCGATGTCCTCTGCATTAGCCACACAGGTCAGACTCTTCAAGCTCCAGTTAATTAGGTTCTCTAGTAGCCTGTGTGAAATAAATGAGTGATCTGCAGCCAGCCCACTCAGATAAAAGCCATCACAACACTTGGCATATTTTTGGCATTTGTCAGCTAAGTGGACAAAAAACAAATGACCCATGGAGACAAAATGGGCATCTGATGAGGGTCACTGTACACCAAGAGTAAAATGGTCTCCATCTATAGTAGAACCAAGTGCCTGGGTGACTGCCAACATGATTCACAAGAGAAAGCAAACTTAGAATGGATACAAAGCTCATCAACTATGATATGAACCTAACTATCTACAATGTCCAAAGTCTCTGCACACCAGTTTACCATGGGACATTTTTAGTACCATCCTTACTAGAATTATCCACATTTACAAGTTTTCAACAAAGAAGTGTCACTAGGAAACAAATTAATTCTATCTTCATTTCTTTTGCCTCATAAGGATATACACAAGTACTCTGCATCAAAGTTATGTTTAGGCTACTTTTCCATTATCTAAAATCCCTTTCAATTTTTCCCTTGAAACATTTCCAAAGCCAATAGATACAATCTTTAAAAAATGGTAGGGTCCCTTATTCAAATCATAAATTCCATACAAATGCATGCATATATAGCAGATATTCTCATAAAAGTCAAGACCATATTAAGTTGTTTAATGTGTTTGTTTTATGTGTGGACTGTGTAAAAACACATTAGATGGTGGAACTCCAGCTACCTGGGAAACAGGAAAATACAAATCTATGGGGATTTCTAAGTAAAGTGATATTCTTACCAATTTTTGTAACAGTCTTCATCAAATGGATAAGGATTAAGTCAAGCAAATGACTACTATTATTCCCCTGGAAGGAATTCTAGGGCTTTAGGCTACCAAAAAAAAGTTTCTGGTGAATTTCATTTTACTTCTGGAGTATACTTTCTACCCACTTCTAAACTGGGAGAATCAATAGAGTGCCTGTTAATATGATCAATTCGATGGGATTACAAGATTTTTGGAAAAGCGATTGGATGGTGAGAGCATTAATCTCATCAACTGAGCAAAGAAGTCCATGGCTTCGGGCAATTAGAAGGTAGGCCTCCTAAGAAGAAGTAGGTCATGGGGACAGAGCTTGGAGATGGCATCTGGTCCCCAGGTCCTTCATTTTGGTGCTCTTTCCTTGTCCGCTGCTCTCTGCATCCCATGAAGACAGCAGCTGAACCTTATTCCACAGTTCTGCTAAAAGACTGAGCCTCTCTGCACATGCTCAGTAATGAGATCAGCTGGCCATGGACTGAAACCTCTAAAACTATGAGCCAAATAAACTTTCTTTCTTTAAGTGGATTTTTTATGCATTTTGTTCTAGCAATAAGGAATGCTAACCAACAGAAGTAAGATTCAAAATTTTCAAATATTAACACAAAAGTCTGACTTTATTTCAGATATGAATACATAAGAATAAACTCTACATAGCATATAATATAGCATAAGTTTCTAAGAGTCTTCCCAATTCTAAAACATACTGTTACTGTTATCTGCTCTTTCCCCTTAATATGTATCTTACAGCCCAGTGAGAGATTTCATTCCTTTTACTTTTGCATACAGTTTAAACACATTTATTTTTAAACCCATTTATTATAGTTTAATTATCAAGTCACTGACTGAGACATATAATTTGAATTTTTTTTTCCTCTTCTTTACTGACCCTCAAGTCCTAGAACTAGCTTGTTGTGTGGCATTTGCATTGCTGTCTTGGGCATCAGGGCATGAATGACCATCTTTTAGGGTGCGTGGCCTGGCCTGAGGGGTTGTCTCTGTTGGGTAGGTGCTTTCACGCTGCCTCTTCCACACTACACTGATTCAGTGATTTTCACCAGCTTTTATGTTAAGCTTCTGGCCTCTGCATATTGCCCTATTAGGAATATTTTTTCCTTACCTCAAATCCACCAAATGAATTTGACCTGCATTATAGATTAACTGCCCTCATCCAAATAAACAGGTTCTTAACAATATTAACAAAGTATTCCTTCTTAGAAGGGACCAAGGAGCAGAACCAAGTGTTTGGGAAGAAAAAAAAAATTGTAAAATATACAAAGTAATACATCACTCAATGTAGAAAAACGTGAAATATTAAAGCATATATATTCCTTTATGATTAGTAAACTGCAATCCCATCTTTCCAGTTCCTTCCATCTTTAATAAAATTCTGGTCTCTTAAATCTTAGAATCAGATAAAAACAAAGCTGAACACAAACAAACACAAGTGAGTGATAGAGAAAGAGATAAAGCTACAGAATTGTTAAGTGTGGCAATGTTCACTGCTAGGTGTCCAATCAGGCAGTATTCTTAACTCTATGCAAAAGACTAAATTAAAAGATCTACAATAGAGGACTAACCCATCTTTTATTTTTTTTAGCACTGTCATGGTAAAGGAAGTCTAAAAATTTATCAGACTGCAAGTCATCCCAGGCTTTGCTCAAATTGTAGAAACAACACAGACATGAAATCAAGTGATGAGGATTCAAGAGAGATTAAAGACAAAAATGAAATTATTTTTGACACAAAAAGATGTCTTTCTTATTCTTGGCCCTAATCAATTGCTTAAGAGGACCATGTCTTTCAATCAAGATTGTTTCCTTTGATTTTAAAAGATGGGTGTTAGCTTCCAAAGTTTATAAAATTCAGCTGTCTAAACAAAGTGTAGAGGGGGAAACCAATGGGTAAGTAATGCTAAAAAGCAAAAAAATAGTATGAAGCCTTTGTAGATGTTCTAGCCAAAATCAAAATGACATAAGGCATTTGAAATCAACAGTTCCTTTCATTTTCCTTTCTCTTCAAGATTAGGGATCTTTAAAAGACCGTAACAAGAAAAGGTATGCATTCTCGAAAGTTTACAATCTCATTATGAGCATTTTACTTAATACAATGCTAGTCCTTTTAATGATCCTAGGAAAGAACATGTGAGATGCAAAACTACAACAATGACACAATCAACAACGCACTTGAGAACTTACCACGTAAAACTGTGAGTCTGGTGGATACACTTATTTCTCCTACATTATTAGAAGCCACACATTCATAAATGGCCTCATCCCGTGGAGTCCGCAAGGGCTGTATTCTGAGAACTGATCCAGATCCATCATCAAACTCTATTACCTATTAGAGGAAACAATAGCTGTCACAGGTGTTGTTACAATTGTCTACCTCTCAGCTAAACCTCTCAGTGCAGTGGGCAACCAGCCATTAGACTTAGAATGGACTCCGTGGTAACTAAGTATGATGTCTGGTCTAATTTAATGAAATCTAAATGAAGAAAGGACATAAAACTATTTATGCAAAAATGTAGATTTCTAACCTCTTCTGAAAACTACTCAGGATTTACTCATGAAAATATGTGAGTTAATGTCTCTAGGGCAACTTACGCCTGTTAATTTTGCAAGAGACTTGAAGTTATGATGGAGAAACTTCTCAAGTTATTCTGTTTTTGACATCACATATACACATGGGAATCTATTTAATAAGTGAACTGTAAGGTGAGGAATTAATGCATGTCACCACAAACACTACCGCTCTGTAAACTGTCTCCTTCTGAGTGTACAGATGAGTGAACCATGAAGAGAAACTGCATAAATCTAGTACTTAGGCAGCCAACGAGACGGCTTTCACAACCCAAAAGCCTAACGGCATGCATCAATTTTCCATAAATCATTACAATATTTGTTCTAGTTTGGCATTTTTTGCATTTTTTAGGGCATGCTTGCTGTAAAATGGAGGCTTGCTTCATCAGGTAGAAAATTAATGTCCTAAATACCAAGTCTGAATCCACTATCATTATGAACTCCACTGTGAAACAGCTTAGTAATACCGGTAATCCTAGGCACTGGCAGCTAATTCAAGTATTATTTTTTAATCCAAAAAAATGAGGACGATGGTAAATAAATATATACAACTCTGGAGTCCTTTACCTGTCATTCTGTAACTGCTATGTTCTACCAGCTGCTCGCTGAAATACAGTATTTTATTTTTCATGTTTCCTAGGAATAATACTTCCATGTGCCTAAGTCTGAATAAATTGAGAATGTCTTAGAAATACAGTTATGGGGTGCTTATTCCCAGATTTTTTGTGTGTTGATATTCACCCTAAGAGAAAGGAGAGTAAGTATTTTTAAAATACGTGTGCTTTAAATTCTTTGTGCACTCTATTGCCATTGCAATTCACAAAGATATCCAAGATATTCCATCCCACAATGTGCCACAATTTATGTTCAATTCTATTAAGCACGTGTTTTTAAATGAACCCACTATGCATCTTAGAAGATAAAACCTTCATAATTACTAATTTTTGTTAAACATTCCACGTCTTTAAAAGATTACGAATATCCTGTTGTTCAAAATATAAAAAGGTTAAAAACCTCTAATATCAATTTAAACTTAACTTTTCTATTGTTATAGCCGTTTTTGTTTTTCTGAGACAACATTGTGCTACACAGCCCTACACTGTCTCAAATTAGTGCCTCAGCCTTCCAATTCCTGTGATTAAGGGCATGTGACATCATAATGGGCCACTAAAATTTGATTAACTTAAAGCTAAACGTCATTATGTATTCGCATTTCTGCACTATTTCTTACATTGAGACTGATCTTATAAAAAAAAACATGACATATTATATACCAGTGCTGCAATTTCCAATTTAAAAAGTTTATCTAACATCCATTGTTGACTGCACGCATACCATGATCAGAGACAGTATTTGACACCGATATAATATTAAAATTAGTCTCATATACAACTGTCATAGGCCTTAAAGACAGATATTAAAGATTTTTGATACTATTTAACTTAGGATCACTGTATAAAAGCAACTCTTCCTGGGTATTCAATATGACTCACACTAGCAATTAGCAGAGCTCATGCTTTGAAATGTTTATTGGTGTAACAATGTTATTTATAAGACTTTGTCACTAGCAAGCATATAAAGAAGTAGTCATTGACAGAAAAATTACTTTCATCTAAACTAAAAAAAAAGAGTACACCAAAGATATATACACATATATTATCTTACATATGATATAGGGAATATTTTCTAAAGATTTAAGGCATTCTCTTTATGTTTAACTGAAACAACTGATTTTCAAATAAAGAGAATTTATAATTTACTATCTATAAATTACAGTCTATATTTCACATTTTGCCATTGTTATTAAGATCTTTTACTCAGTTAAACCATATATCACTCTAGGATAGTCTCTGAAAAATTAGTATAATCAAACAGCTCTTGATTTTGTAGTTTCTTCATAAGTAGAAATTGTCTTTAATCTGTCAAACTTTGCAAGAGGTCATGAGGTAGATGAGAAACTTAGACAATAAAGTGAGCTTCAACTGGGGTCCCCCTGAAAATCAAGCTATCTTCCTCATGTCCTTATCTATAGGTAAGACACTGCTTCTTCCACGCTTTCTCTGTGTAAATTACTGCCCATTTTTCTCTTCCAGAATGAGTAAATTTCTAAACCACAAAGCTCCTCACAAGGCTCTAAGAATGTCTGAATTACGTTCATACTTCAATGCACTGAGCTTTCCCAAGTAAAGAAAGGTAATTCCTTCAGTAAGTTTACCTGCAGTCCTACCTGTTGGGTGACATCCTGCAGGGTAGTACTTTATCCTAACAGTGCAGCAAACTCCTCTTTGTACTTCGCAGGCTTCAAACCCAGGTACGAGGGCAGTGGATACTTGCTATCAGCCCCATTCCTTTTCTAGAAGCACTCATTCCACTTGCTTATTATCAGAAGTTTGAAATTCTGTCTGAGAAAATGCCACTCCCCCTTTCACACACGGGATTAAATGGATCTGATCTCATTCCAAGTAACAGAGGTATATTCGGATTGGCCTGAGTTAATTAGCCTAAACTATCCCCTGTCCACAGAAGTGGGTTCTAGGCTGAACATGTAACTCCATAGACGGCAGTGGCATTGGAAGCCTTAGGAAGAGACCTGTTTTGCTGCATCCTCTGAACTTAGTCATGTGAGGATGTAACAGCCTGAGGGTGACACTAACAGACTGAGCTGGGACACTGAGCCTTGGCACAAGCGGAGATAAAAGTCAGCCACTTCAATTCCTAAATTCTCCTTTCTAAAAAGTCATTTAAAGTTACATTTTTCCATCACATGCAACATAAAGAATGCTGTATCTCAGAGACTGGATATATTTTTATGAGAGTGAAGCAAATAAGTAATATACAAACCAAAGACAGAGCAGACACATTCTTCCCCCAGAGAAACAGAACAATGGACCTAATACCTCAAATCTCTGATTGCTGACTTTCTTTCCTTTTTTGTTCCAGACAATTTTAGGTCTTGGGTCTCCCATAGCTTGACAAATGAAAGACGCAACTCCACCAGAGACCCCTGTCTGATCAACGGGAGTTCTTGTAAACCTTGGAGGTGCTGAAATAAAAAGAAAAAAATTACCATAATTAAATGCAAATTTGAAATACAGACGATTACCCTACTGTCCCTGGTCTCCTCGCTGCCCATACTCTCACGCACACATGCATGAATGTACTAGAATTACAAAATTAGAAAAGTACTTTTCACTTTACAGGGGAAGGAGGCAGCTTTCTGGTCAAGTTAGTGCTTTTATTGCTGAATTCTGTATTAAGGCAGAGATCCAATAACATCCGAAAAGCAACATCACACATTAATTTTTATTACCAGTATTAAAAAAATCCAATTTGTCCTCTGTAACAAAATGAGCTCATCAATCAAAGTGAGCAAAATTTTAGTTCTTTGTTTGGATGCCACTATCAGGACCCTGCCAGAAAGTAGCACTGCCACTGCTGAGCTATTAAAATTAGTGACGTTTAAGAGAAATTCTAGGAAATTTTAATGAGACAAGAACTATGTCCCTGAATTAGAGATTTGGAAGAAACAGAAATAGGGAAAAACAGTAAAGTAACTTTCTAACTCAGAAACTGTGGACTGCCTTACTTAAAACTTGACTCCACAATTTGCAAAAATAAATAAAAATAAAGATGAGTCAATAAGACTATAGAGTCATGGCAAAAAAGGACTTGCTTAAAGTGCATATTTAAAGATTACTAAGACAAAAATTACTAAAATCACAGGTGGGGATCTGCATACCTCCGACAGCTCAGCTGGATCAGCAAGGAGTGCAGAAGATGGAACCTTTCTAAGAGCTGTACATCTTTTTAAGTATTTCTAATATCTACTGTCTTTCCCTTAAAAATTTATTTTCTACTTCATATTTCAAAATCTATCATATAACAATGACATAAATGTTGATGAACATTTATGCACAAAGATATTCACTGTATCATTAAGTAAAAGATTATAAGTAGTCTACATATTAAACACTATAGAAAACAAATGTTTAAATTTTGTCTTAATGAGTGGACACTATACCAGTGGCAAGTTTTGAATTTATAAAGATCTTATCAGACATAAGATGTCTGATTCATTGATAAGGCACAAAAACACAAAGCAGAATTATATCTAAGATGTATCTGAAAATGAAAAATACACACACACATATTAGAGAAAGCATACTAAAACAATGTTGTGCAATGTTATTGTGATTACTTTTGCTATTTCTTTATATTTTTTATACAGTTGAATTTTATATTAATGTTATGTTGCAATTTTTAACTAAAGAACATTTAATTTCTTTTTTCTTTTTCCTTTTTTTTTCCTTTCAGAGATTTTCTTTTCCCTCCTCCTCAGTTTTTGGTGTATCTCACTGGAAAATAGTTCTGAGTAACTATGGCTAACATTTTTTAAAAGTAACCTTTAGATTCTCACAAAGGAGAAAATAACAATGTTTGTGTTTGCGCATGGCCATTTTCCCTGCATTCCTTCATGCTTCCCACATGACGCCCACTGGGCCTGCACACAGGGAAAACAATCACCTCTAGTATTATCTTATGCTTTTGCATGCATATATACGGGTAGTTTTGAAAGTAAGTAAAATCATCTAACGTTACTGTTTCTTAACTGTAAAAATGAAATATGGAATATACTTCACAGAAATCCCTTACACTTATAAAGTTTCCTAGCTTAATTTACGGTGTGCATGAAGGACAGAAAAGAGGAAAGAGGCGTCTCTTCAACGATGGTTCTAGGAAACATGTCTCTACTTCATGAGTAAATTCAAATTCTTGGTATAGAAAAGGGGGTCTGGGGCGGTTTACATCAAGAAAGATGAGCAAGGAAAACACTCTATCAACCATACTATCACATCCTGCACCAGATCTGGTTAGCAGTACAAACCAGATGATCCCTAGAAGCTATAGAAATTACATAAAGTGATTTGAAACTAACAAAAACAATTAAATAAAACACACTATATTGACGTCAGTTTCCTGGAAACAAATTAAAGAGATAATACTAGTTTTAATGCTTTTCTTCCTGCTATTGCAAACAATGCAAATTGATAATAACTACCTACTTGTCAGTGTCTAATACAGAAATCATAATTACAAAATTAAAATTCCTAGGAGATTTCCATGGGAAAACAAAACCCATTTCATTGTTGTATTAAACATCCTGATACTATCAATTTCAACAACTTCCTTCTCTTGTTTGTTTTCTAGGAACAGTCAACTCTGTAGAAAAATGTCCATTTTCACAACCTAGGTTCCCATTTAAGGTTTGTCTTGAAATTTCTCACCAGAGCCTGTGAAGGGAGCAAAGATCTGTTTCAGGAAGTGATTGTGTTCTGGTGGAGGTTAAGTAAACCTAAAGGAAGGATGCCAATTGCTGTGACCTGGCATTTTACAGTCAAGGATGAGATTCTACATCCCAATCCAGAGAATAAAGGAAATTTACAGATTCATTCTATTCACAAAAAAGGCCAGCTGCTTTGTACTGCTGGAATGTACCAAAGAAGTCAAACTAACATTCGATACTAAAATCTTATTTCTAACTGGAAACTAAAGAAGACAAGTGCACAGATAAACACGGAAAGGGTGTAAAGATCCAATGTTTTTAGGCGTGTCTCTTGCTTAGTTTCATTTTCTGGATATACAGTAATTTTGCTAAGTATGGAAAGCTGCCACATACAAGACCACTGGAAGGTACTGTAAAAATTTTATTTCTGAAAACCTGAATCAGGCAATGGAATTAGCTTCCTGAAATGGGGAAAATTTATTAAAATAACCAGTTGGAATCTGCTCCAAGATGAGTTTTTGTTTGTTTGTTTGTTTTAATAAGGCCTTGTAATTACACAGTACTTAATGTACTAACTTGGTATTCCAAAGAACAGTCTTGCAAAGGGTCCTTGGGAAGAGGTGAGAGAACGGCTAGAAGCTGTTCACAGAGCTCCCTACTTGGTTTTCTTTGGGTTTTTTAAACAAAGTTTTAACAAAAGACATTATCCTTCATAGACAAGTAAATGATAGTTTTCTTAGGGGATCTGATATCATTTTTTCTACATTTGTCCACAATATACAAATCAAAGAAATGATAGACATCATCATTCCATGATACAAAGTAAAAATCTAGATAATGCAGATTCCTTTTGGTAATCCTGTTGGTAATCCTTTGTGTGTCACATAAATAAGCATTTTGGCTGGTCAAATTCTCAGATTGATACTGTTAATGTGAGACAGCCAGCCAAAGAAAATATTTGAGACAGAGAATTAAAGTTAGTAACTTCAGAAAATGCTCCAGACAAGTGAAAGTTGTTATTCTCAGAGGGGAATTACAATACACAGCACCTACTTCTTCTTTATCTTAACTTAATAAAAGGAACTAGACAAAACCTCTACCTTCTTTTGTCCAGGTTAAGGCCCACACTTAAGTCATGTTCTGAAGAAAAAGAATCCAAGCAAAACAAACAAACAAACAAACAAAAAAGTCTACTGAATAGTCTCAAAACAGGAGATCTTCAAATTTAAATAATGAAAGCCTCTAATTTTATTTCATGAGATACAACCATCAATGCTATATTTGACCTAAGAAACAGAGTATAAAGATGAGGAGAAAGGCATTACAAGTTACAATTGCAACAGTTATCAGTCTGTTCTATCATTGTGTTAGCTAAGTGCCACTCTCCTGCCCATGACTGTGTTTGCTAAGTACCACTGCTAACCATCTGAGACCTCGAACACTGTGCTTTGCAAAGTATATTTCTGCTCAAGCTGATCCTGACAAGTGTGAAGTATGATCTTTTATTAAACTAATGCCAGGCACTTACAGGTCAAATTACTATTCAAGTCAGAAAGTCTATTTTCTAAATGGAAAGATGAGAAGCCAAACATGCATATGAGTCAGGACACAGGCATGGCTGATATTCTAGAATGCGTCTGCCATGGTTGCTGGCTTTTTTCAAAGACCATACATTCTCTGGATGCAATCACACAGTAGACAGTGGCTCCAGGAATATAGTAAGACTATTTTCCAACTAGCTGAAGAGGAGCTGCCAAATGAGTTTTCCTTTTAAGAAGCTTGATTCATAAAGCACAAATATTGCACATTACTTTATCACGTAATAGTAGAAACATTCTGATGCCATACCATGTTTCAAGTTGCCAGGATTTCTGAAGGCGATGTTGAGGCACTTCAGTGTACATTTATGTCACTTAAATTTAGAGGTAGGGAGAACCAACCCAAACCAGCCAACTGTTTTTGATCATCTTTCACAAAATGTTTATGGAGAGAAAATCATCTTTTTAGGACAATACATTAAATAGATATTAATAAGAAAGAATCATTGATAATTATTAATAATACTCATGGAAGAGAGGAATTTATGAGAATTTCTTAAAGGTTAAGAAGACAGCTTAGGCTCGAAATAACTTGATTAGCCAACTGAGAATCACTTAAAATAGAATTATAAAAAGGATCACATGTTACAAAGTGAAGGGAAGAAATGAGGGTGCCATTTGTCTAATTATATTTTTAATTAATAAGCTGCTTCTGTGGACATCAAGAAAATATGTCACATAGGGAACAAATCTAACAGCATGTAACTAATTGGCTGTTTCTTTTAGCTGATTAACATTTCCTTAAATAGAGAGCTTTGTTTTAAAGGGGTACTTGTCATAACAATGTACTTAAAATCTTGAAAGGGGAAGGTTAATCATGTTATTAAATGATACTAAGGGAGAGGCAAAGGAATGTTCAGTAAAAATATGCAAGCAATCCTGTCTTTCAGAATCTGCTTCCTCCCTAAAAGGTTTCTCCAGCATTTATAAGACAGTCAACTAAAACCATCTGGGATCTTTCTTTTTCTGTGTATGTCATGAGTGAGGGTCCCTGTGTAGATCAGATGGGAAACTCAGAACAGGAGGCAAGTTAGGACCAGTTTGAAGGGCTTTAAAGTTGTCTGAAGGTTTGGAAGCTCTGTCAGAGGGCTCACACCACCCATCTCAGTACATCCTACTGCTGCTCACCCATAAATGCTGAGGGGCCAGGGGTTGTGTAAA